ATATATATATATATATATATATATATATATCGAATGATTTATGTTTGAAACATTTTTTTTTAAAATAAATTATTATTGAAATTTACCGTAAAAGCGTAATATTAGATCGGAGTTGACGGATCTGATGTTTTAATAAAAAAATACTTTAGGAAATTTGTGAGATCATTCAAACTTATAAATTGGAGGGTTTGATGTTTTTAAATTACTTATACTTACTTTAGGAAGGATGGCGTCAAGTATGGGTCGATTTAAATGTCCCAATAAAAATTGGATTATTGTAAACTGAGGGATTTGATTTACTTACTTTAGGAAGGATGACGTCAAGTATGGACCGATTTAAATGTCCCAATAAAAATTGGATTATTATAAATTGGGGGATTTGATTTACTTACTTTAGGAAGGTGGCGTCAAGTATGGACCGATTTAAATGTCCCAATAAAAATTGAACTGTTATAAACTGGAGAATTTGGTTTTCTTCAATTACTTTTACAGTACTTCTTTAAAAATTCTTATACAATGGAGAGTCGTTGTTCGCGAAAAAAGGTATACTGTATAGCACTATAGCACTGCCTAAAAATACCCCGGGTATAAATCAATTTACCGGACCCGTCTATCCTGTCCTGTCAGTATAATAATGGTGAAAATAAAAGATCTACATATTACATGTTTGATATATCGAGACGGGTATTTTATATGGGGTACGCCGAAAAGGGGGAGCAGTGATATACTGGATTATACTGCTATACTGCTATACGGTATCTTCTTACATCAAATGGGTACGTACGAAATTTGTGAGATCGTTCAAACTTGGAAGATTTAAATACTTCCTTTTGGCGTCAAATATGAATCAAATTTTAACGACTTAAACGTCCCAATAAAAATTGCTGTATCGTACGCGAAGAGACACGTGAATACTAGATAAATTAGATAAATTATATAGATTTAGGTTTCTTCCTTATACAACGAATAAAATTATTTATATATAATTACCCTTGTCATTCTTCTTGTGCAAGGATTTTTTTTATTTTTTTAAAAAAAAGAGAATGAAATGAGAAATGGTAAATAAATACAATAATAATAATAATAATAAAATATGTTAAAAATAAAACTAAATATAGAATTATTTCAAATGACATATGGTATAAATCTCTTCCTTTGATTAAAATAGACATCCCATTCTTTACCAAAATGATCTTTCAATAACTTTTCTTCATGAAAAACTCGTTTAAAGATTAAACTAAGGAAAATTGATTGAGTGATAATATTCCACCAACCTACTAACCAAATAAATGAACCAAACTGACTAGCTGGAAAATATTCAGGAACATAGGAACATAATTGATACCACAGAAAGATTACATTAATAATCATCAAGCCACCACCTGTATACTATAATTAGAATATATTAGTAAACTTAGTAAACTCTATTAACTTTGTTAATATTTAATAAATAAAAATAACTTACAGCAGGATGAGCTATTAAAGAATACGGTCCTGTAGTAATTAATTTATGATTTTTTTTAACTGTAATATTAAAAGTAAAATATTCTTTTAAACATTTAAAACACCATAATCTTAACGATGTTCCTCCAATACCTAAACAAAATATGACAGTTTCTAATAAATTCCAATCAGAAATTTTATGGTTTAAAATTGGAATTGATCCAATTTCTTGTAGAAACATCATATAAATATAAATAAATGTTTGCATTATAACAAAAATAATTGTTGATTTAGGGATGAAGTTTCCAATTATTATTCCTAATCTTCCTTCTGTTGATATAACTTTTTTGGTGGATACATCTTGACTTGGTGGAATTGATGCTTTAGAAACGAGATATGCATTAACTACAAATGCAATGATTTTTGTATACATTTTTGGAAATTATTCAAAAAATTTCATGAAAAAAATGTTGGAAATTATTAATCAATTTTTATACAGTTTATTTTGGAATTGTCGATCGACCAAAACGACCAATTATAATTTAAATAATTACGAGAATATCATGTAATAGACTTCTTACACTTAATTCAAAATGTTACTTACTCATTAAAGAATTCATCACCCAATCTACGAATAAAATGGTAATTCCTCAGCTGTGGAATGTATAAATGATTATTAACTGGTGCATGAGAATTTTATTAATTTACAAATTACAATAATACGGTAATGAAAAAATCCCGGAAAATCTTACTTAAAATAAATCTGATTTTACATTATTATAAATCCATAATCATGATATAATTTAAAAAGAGTTTAAAAGGCTACATTTTATCGCCTATTAGGATTAAATGCTTTTTAAAAATTTAATTACAAATGCTATAAATGTTGATTTTTTTTTTTAAAAAAAAAACGTATATATGGCATTTGTAAATTAAAAGTAAATGCAATAGGAAGCAAAATCCACAAGAACATCTTTGGATATATTAGAAGGGGTATACAATTCCATTCAAAAAAATGTTTTAACAATCTATAAATCATAAAAAAGCCTTCATTGCAACTCACCAAGTATACCAAATATGATTTATAAATTCCTGTAGCATTTTAAGCTTAGTTTTTTAGTGGTATAAAACAATATTATTAAATTATTATTGATAAAATCTATTCAAAACCTTTAAATAATTGGTTTTAAATTAGGTTTAAATCAATTATAGTTTTAAATTAGATTTAAATCTTTAAATTGGTTTTAGTTTAAATAAGCGTATATGAATATTTTATGTCACTGTTCTCCTATGATATAGCTATTATATGATCTAATATAACTATTGTAACCTTGATTCTTTGATACTATAATATTAATATTTTCATTTTCCTTTAATAAATATAAATAAGTCCTTCTCAGATCACATTATATATAATAAATAAAAACACAATAATAAATAAAAACATTTTTCTTTAATAAACATTTTTCTTTAATAATAAATTCTTTCTAAATTACATTACAGTTCACGACATAAATATCCGGAATTTTATCACAATATGTAAAAACATAATAAATTTTATTTTTTTTATTTCAAATTTATACCATTAATAGCTTAAGATGTGCAGATAAACATACTTTAAAAGTTAGTAATTTATCGTATAACCATTATTTTCTATGATCATGTTAATCCGATCTGACATGCTATCTGCTAAACTAAAGAAGAGATTTTTATCAATATTATCCCATTCTTGCTGAATTATGCCTTGAAAATCATTAGCACCAAGTGATTTTTTTTTCATAACCCAATTATTAACCCTTCTTTCTACATTTTCTTTAAGAATCGCCCATAAATTTTCAATGGGGTTCAAGTCAGGTGAGTTTGCAGGCCAATCAATAACCGGAATATTATTAATCACAAAAAATTGATGAGTAAGCTTCGCGGTATGCATTGGCAAATTGTCCTGCTGAAAATTCCATCCATAACCAGCATTATAAGCATTAGGAAGTAGTTGAAATTGAAGGATTTCACGGTATTTAGCAGAATTCATGTTTTCTGTAAATAATGCAACTCCAATTGGCCCTTGGCGGCAAAATGCACCCAAATATGAACCTTATATGGATGTTTTACCATAGGATGTACTGGATGTGGGTTTCCAGCCTTGTAACGTACAATTTGAGTATTACGAAATGTCTGAAATGTACTTTCATCCGAAAAAATTGTGTGAGTCCAGTCATCTTGGATGTGATTTAAGGCCCATTGAAGACGAGCTTCAACATGACTTTCTTTAAGAAGAGGAACAGACCATGGTCTACAAACAATATAATTAAGTTTATTTTTAAGAGTACGTTGTACAGTTCGGGTTGATACATTAAGATCTGGATACAAATTATTCAGCTTTGTTGTCATTAAAGCTGAAGTTGTTGCATTATCATTTTTAAGAAGACGGCCAAGATATCGACGTTTTTTTGGTGTCAGAACAAGAGGACGACCAGGAACGGGTAAGTGTTCAA